TAACCTTGCCTATATAATTTTAAGGATTTCAAAAATCATGAATTTTTCTTTTCGATGTGTGAAAAAAAGCATCAATTATTTTTTCCGGTGTATAAAAGTTCATCAATTATTGCTAATATAAAATTTAACACATAACCAAATGAAGCTGTTTCTTTACCATTCACAAGGAGACATTTAGAAGCTGTTTCTGGTCAGATGAATTGTAACTACAACTGCAAATTTGACTTTAATGCACAATAGACAGATTGTGTTTTGCAAGTAAAACGCGCTAGTAGTTTCTCTATTTCCAAAGACTTTGATATATTTATTTGTTTCTTTGACATCTTCTTGATCGCTAATTTCTTTGGGTAATCTCTAGGTATATTCACAAAAGTATTTGAAGACTAACTGCTAAAATGATTTTCATTTCAACAATAAAATTCAAACCTCACACTCCTTTAAAATATGTGCTATATTATATTCATATAAACTAAACCAACTTTAATTTTGTTAATATGTTATCCTTCAATATGATTTTCAAAATGCTTTAAAACAATTGCACAAATGATCCCTTCAAGTTTGTGGCGTAGAAAGTGGATTATCAGATTGAGTTTCTGTGCCTTTTGAAATATACATACAAAAATACCATACTATTTTTTTTTTTGCCACATACAATCTATAAAATCTGAAACAAAAAATAATTAAATTCTGCGCTATTCATGTGTTTTTGAAGTCAACTGTGGTATTTCTTTTGGGTAAACTAAAATGATATTACCAAATTAAAATTACAAACACACGCACACACGAGTTGTTTCTTTTGAAATTGAGTGTGACTTTGAGGTCTACTTACAAGTCAAGCGCTCCATGTACCAATGCATACGTACAATCAATTAAAGTTTGTAGACTTTTGATAAACATTTTGTTCATGCATGCTTCTTCCCACTAGTAATTATAATTTTTTTTCTCTGTCTATGGCCTACAAGACTGACCATAAATGAAATAATGCAATGGAAATGAAAATGCGGTTCAGGAAGTGGAACTATACTCTCTCATTACTAACGTATTTATGGGGTCATTTCATCAACTTGTTTTTGGGGATAACTTTAATCTTTGGAATGCCGATTTCATTTATGCTCAACTCTTTGTTGGTATCAACTGGAATATATTTTGGTTTAGTGGTTTGTCAATATCTTTAATTTGTTTGGCTAGTCTTAAAGAAATTCAGATGTTATTTACACTTAGCTGTTATTTATAAATTTGTTTTTGTGGATGTATTTTTCATTTGGAAAATTCCCTAATTAAAATAAATTGAAGGCTGCTTTTAATAAAATAGATGATACACTAGTTGAAAATTGCAAATTGAGACTACATCAAAATTAACATTTTAAAAAAGGGATAAGGTGATTAAATACTCTAAAAGTATCCACCAAAAAACACCCAGCATCTGAAGGTTTTTTTCCCCCCTCTTATCTGCCATTATATAATTTTTTTAATCTGTTATTGTATAAATATATGTATTATAACATGTCGTTCAGATCTGAGTTATTAGGTGTAACAAAATAATCTTTAAGTTTCCATCCCAGAGCGTGTAATCTTGGCAAATATCGTTTTTAATTATACAATTTACTTTACTGTATGTGTATTGAAATATTACCTGGCAAAAAAAATGTTTATAGAAATATTAAAGCCACACAAGACAAACAGAAGATAATATAAATCAATTTTAAACGAAGTACAATACAAAAAAGTAAAAAGCTTTTATTATTTGGAAGTCTGTAATTAATCACAATCACGCAATATATTTTATTTTAGTGTTCACTTTTTATGGTTATTTTTTAATGTAGTCACGAGAGATGTCATTTTGCAATTTGAAATTTAACGTCTTCGCCTTGACTTTGATTTAGAATTGGAGAAGTATAAATGGACTTGTTTGTTAATTGCTGGATGCACAACACTTGCGAATTTGATAAGTCTGCTGTGCAAAACATGGAAAAACCTCTTCCCTTTGTTTTCCTTTTCTTTTTTCATTGCTTCATGTCCTGCTTAGCTTGGAGTCAAACAAACATGACTACCGACAGATCTGCACTTCTTTCTCTTAAATCCTATATCACTTCGGATCCATACAATTTCTTAGCTAGTTGGTCTGTCTCTTCTTCTACCTGTAGTTGGGCTGGTGTCACCTGCAATACTCGTCATGGAAGGGTCCATTCCTTGAATCTTGGTGGCATGGATCTTAAGGGTAGCATATCACCACAACTAGGAAATCTCTCCTTCCTGGTTGATCTTGATCTCAGTAAAAACAACTTTCATGGTCAAATTCCTCAAGACTTAGTTCAATTACGTCGATTGAGACTGTTCAACTTGAGCTATAATGACTTTCACGGGCAAGTTCCAACATGGATAGGAGATTTATCTATGCTTGAACAGTTGAGTTTTCGAAATAACAGTCTCAATGGGTTCATTCCATTATCTCTATTCAATCTATCAAGGTTGGAGACTTTGGATTGGAACTCTAATATCATTGAAGGTACCATTCCACCTGAGATAGGAAGTCTAAAGCACTTGAAGAATCTACAACTTTCAAGGAACAAACTTTCAGGAGCAATTCCCCAAACAATTTCCAACTTATCTTCACTTGAACTACTATGGTTGTCTTATAATAGTTTGTCAGGTATGTTTGGATTAATTTTTATATTTATATTTATGTTTGCTCAAAACTAGTCTATTTATTCATCTGGATATAAACTCTCAATAATCATGTGTTTGGGTGCGTTGAATGTGATTGTTCTTTAATGATCCTTTGTTCTCAAAATCGAAGTTAATTATTTATAAAGTAAGGTGATAAAGCATAGAATTCAAGTTTTCATTATTAATATTGAATAACTCAGTTCTAATATTGATTTTTTTCCTGTCAATCTATGCAAATTATATCATTTTGAAAGAAAAATTTGTTTAAATTCTTAGGAATTACTTAGGTCATGACGTTTTAGAAGATATAGAATGGGTTTTATTTGTCATTACATACCAAACGGTTCTTGAGGATACTCCAAAACGCAGAAGACTTGTTCCTAAACAATGTGACTCCCGCATTTTTTTTTTTAGCATTTTATATTGATGAGATTTTTTTTTTCAAGTTGTGAAAGAAAAAGCTATGGCGAGTTGAATTTTAGAAGTTTAAAATAGTTAAGACGTGCTTTATGACAAACCCTTATTCGCGACGTGCTTTGAACACATGGTACAGCTGGGATTCCTTCTTTCTACTTTTTTGGTATTTTTCATTCCCCCCATATTTTCTTTTCAATGGCAAGTTTTTTGGATTTCTTTTGTTATAGACAATCCATTAGAATTTAATAAACACACATAATTATTGTGCTTAGAGTGTGTAAAATTCGCAAATACCATTTTTACTATATGTTAATTGAAATTTTAAAAAGGCCCCATACACCACTACTAGAATTACAAGGAATGAAAATACTAGAGTATTTCTTACTTTTATTAATGATATTTCTATCTTGGGTCATTTGTAATTAGCTGTTTATATTTAGCCATATCCTTATAATCTGAATAGTCTATTTATTTATATATTTATTTTAGCTTCTCAAACTTAAAAAAAAAATAACTTTAGATGTATGGAAAACAAATATAGCACACCCCTCTGATTAATTTTAATTTGACGTAATCACGAGAGATGTCATTTTCCCAGTTTGAAATTGAGTTTGCACTCCTTGACTTTGATTCCGGATTAGAAAAATATAAAATGACGTATCTATTAATTTTTGGATGCTTCACACTTACAAATTAAATTTTCTATTTTTTATCTTAATTATAACAGTTTGTTAAATATGTTTTGAATGATTCTGGGGTTGTCTCCATTTTTTTCTTTTTTTTTTTTTAGTTGTTGTTATATTTTTGTGCCTTTCTTATTATTTTTCCCATCATTTTTCTATTCTTCTTAAAAGAATAAAAAACAATTTGTCATCCCAATTGTGAGATGGTTAGTAACCCTATACCATAGGGAAAAAGACTATTGTTATAATATTTGTTTGAAGAGATCTTTTAAGGCCCATTATCAATCCTTGAAAACGATATTTATTATTATCATGCTATTACAAACTTTTGAAGTTTTTTTAATAAAAAAAATGAGTAAGCCTTACCAGCAACATGTTTGGAAAATGGAACATTTAATTTTAATGTGGATAATATAAAATATTAATTTTATGATATATTATTCACTTGTATTTTAAATAAGTTTGTAGATGACAAAAATAATTTTAAATTAATCAAAATTACAGAAAAATAAACTGAACTGGAACATAAAACAATGTAATGAATCCCCATATCCAAAATATTTATTCTATTTTATTACCTGAGCTAAATTGAAATGGTTATTTCTATTTTGAAAATAAGTATCGTTGTGTTTATCATTTACAATGTACTAATGTTATTTCTCATATAAGAGCGCAAGTCTCACTATGTGTTTTCAAAAATGCAAATATGTCTCGCGTACATAATATTTTTGTCAACTACACCAACGATCTTGACCTGTCCCTATATAGGACTTAGCTAGCTAGTGACAAATTTAATTTTTGAAAATAATTATATTTCTTAACACTGTCAGCTTAGCTTTGTAAGGTTATATCTTATCCTTGAGTATATTTTCAAAATTGTTTTCAATAAAAATGCAGACATAAAATGCAGCACTAGATTGACAAATATAAATATCAATTAAAAATACATACTTTAAAAAAAATCTTCCATATGCATGGTCAAACCCAGCAGCAAGAAAAGAAAAACCTAAAAAAATCCACACTCTTAGCTTCTCTTTCATTTACTTTCTAGTATTTAACTTAAATTAATTGTTGATTATTTCAACAGCGGATTATTTGATCATTTTATTATGACATATGATAGTTAATGCGCATGCTATGAAAGTTGATATTGACATATTGTTTATCACTTAATATTGGAAGGAGCCATTCCAAATGAAATTGGTCATTTTCATCAGCTTCATACAATATATCTTGGAGCTAATCAGCTTTCAAGTACTATACCAACCTCCATATTTAATAGTTCAGTGCGACAATACATTTCACTTAATGTCAATAATTTATCTGGGAGTCTGCCAACAAATGTGTGTTCTGGGCTTCCACAACTCAAATTATTTTATATGGATGGAAATGATTTGTCTGGCAAAATACCCTCCATTTGGCATCAATGCAAGGAATTGGTAGAGTTACAATTAGGGGATAACAAATTCAATGGAGGAGACATACCAACTGACATTGGAAATTTGACCAAACTTGAGTGGCTATATCTTAGCAGCAGCAACTTGCAAGGTAAGAGCTTTAATTATGCGGTTGTCTAAAATTTTGTTTTTACTATTTTGATAAGTCATTAATTTAATTTAAATATTAAAAATTTAGTCAATAATAATTTTGCTAGATTAATTTTAAAGACATGGAACTTGATGCTTTCTTTTAATCTCAAACTGGATATGCTTTCTTTTATATATAATTTAATTTTCACACATGTCAAAACATGAAATAAAATATTTAAACTAAACAAAAATAAATTAATCAAAATTTGTACTTAACTTTCATGTGGTGTGGCATTCCTTCCGTGTCGGTTATTTAATTTCCCCTCCATTTTGTTGTTGGCGGCTATTTTTTTTTAAAAATAAATCTGGTTCTATATTATCAATTAGAGCATATCAGTGTTATTTTTCAAAATGAGTAAGCCTTGAACGATGTTATAGAAAAAATATAAATTTTGTATCTCGTAGACATAACATGTAAACGAAATATATCATTAAAAAAAGTAGAAAACTATTATTTACTAATATTATAAATTGCTAACACGCACAAATATGTTAATTCATTCGCATTGAATTGGAACAATTTTCTGGCCAAAAAAATTGGAACAATTCTGTACGTTCAATTCTTGGTAAAATTGAATAACGCTCTTGAACTTAAAAATTTTCACTGGTAATTTCTTAATAATTATTTAATTTGAAGTTAAAAGAAACATTCAAAAAGGGGGAAAACGTAACAAATGTAGACGCATTATACGTTATGTGGAACTTTTTTTTCCTTATTAAGCAAATATACTTAATGATTTGGAAAATTTTCAAATAAAAAAGCCTGAAATTATGATATTTTAATTTTCAAATCAATTGTCATCATGAGTGAAAGTTAAAATAAAAGAGTAAACTTATATTATTTTTTTGCATTACAGTGTTGCTTTTAATTTTAGCAACCACCCGGTTGAGAGATTAAATCCCACTAACCCCACTGTCCTAGGCAAAAAAGATAAAATGCTTCGGCAAAGAGTTCCAAAGTTATTTAAAAAATGAGAAATTTTTATAATTTTTCATGAATTTCAAAATTTTAATTTGATTTTTCTTCATTTTCTATAATTTTAAAGTATTACGTACCTGAATTAAAATAATGTAATTTTATGTTTTTTTATCTGAAATTTTTGCTAATGAATTCTCACTAAAATTGTACCAAAAAATTCTTTCATGCAAAGATAAATTGCTGAAAAGGTGGTCTGGTGCTTTTTGCCGTACATGATTCATTGGAAAACGTACAAAAGAATTATTTAGTCAAACTTAACGTACTGACTTGCGATATATTTTTTTTTAAACCAAATTTGATGGTTAGACAAAATTTGCTTCTCACTTTTTAATATTTATGCATCGATTAATCCGTATAACACATATATTCAAGTTTTTGGAATTAGTACGTAAGAAACGTATATATATACATATATATATTACCTATATGCAAATAATATCTTTTGTGTTTATTCCATTTCTATTTTTCAAAGTGGAGGGGTGTCAGAAGTCTTTGTAAAGAATTTATGTTCCTTTTAATTCAAATATAAGCATAAAATGACTTATGCAATTCAAAAAATTAGTTAAAATTAGTTAAAACTAGTAAATGTATAAAGTATATAACTTATTAACCTAATACATCCATGTTTATGGTGAGGTTTAATAAGAGCGAGGATGAGGGAAAAAAAAGAAAAGAAATAGAATGAGTTAAAAAGGGTCAAAAAGATAATATGAGTGAGGCTTATAATTAATTTGGGAATAAAATTAAAAAAGTACATTAAATGATCCAACGCATCCAGAACAAAGCTTATAAAAAAAAGTTAGTCACTCTTAAAGATTTGATATTGATATTTTTTAATTGGTAGGAGTATGTCATTGTAATGTTCAGTTACGAGTATTGGGCTTTAGGTTCTCAAAGCCCAGTCTCTAATGTATGTGTTTCTGTATAAATATGGGCCAACTAGTCAGTGTTATATGTGAATCCAGTCTCCCTTTCACTCAATAATAGATAGATTTTGGTTCTTTCCAGTTTTCTTTTTTTGGCATCTCTTTACATTACATTTATACTTTATGCATGTTATACAAAAGTATTATAAATTGTTTATTTTCCATTTACAAGTCCATTCAGCGTTTTCACAAGAAGAGTTGTTAATGAATCATATTAAATGCCAACCTCTTTACAAGTATTGAGATTATTATTTCTTATTTTTCTTCTTTTATTTCCTTTTTTCAATATTCTTCAATAATCAAATAAATTTAAAATGAGATTTTATCTGTTATTTCTTTATCATCGTTCATTTTTCTAGTGGAGGCTTGAATATGGCTAATGATTTATAAGAACAAAGCGGCAACGATTTTTTATTTTTTTCTGGTGATATTTTCTTCATTTTGAGGAAAACAAAAAAGTGATTTTTTTTTGTCCTTTCATTCATTCATTCATATTCTTCGTTCATATAATGGGACTTATGTTAAGCTTGTGATTACAATGCCAAAATAAAAGAAAGATAAGATCAACAACCAATGGGACCGCTTGATATTTAAAATGTGTAAGACATTTTTTTAAAAAAAATTTTACTCTTAACTATCACATCATTTATACTTTGATCAGTAAAATGGCTTCACCACGTATAATTTTTCCAGGAATCATTCCAAGTGACATTGGAAGCTTGACAAACCTCCAGACCCTTGATCTTAGCAACAACAGTTTGCAAGGTCAGAATTTTAATTATATGACTGTCTTAGATCATGTGTCTATTTTTGTTTTGTTTTAATCTAGGGATGAAAAATAATTTTAAAATTAGATTCTGTTTTTGTTTTTTTCATTCATTTTAAAGAATCATGAGAAGGTCTGCGTTCATAGGAAAAATGCTTACAAAGAGCCATAACTTATTAACAAGTACATGTAATGTACGTGTTTGTCTGTTCATAAAATGCGGTTTATCTATTTTTCTCTTTATTTGGGAAAATACACATCTAATGGTGATGCTTTCTTTTAATCCCAAAAGTGAATATTGCTTTATGCATATATACATGTTTGCAACATGCTTAGAGTGTGTTAATTGAAATTTATACATATACACATATATTCATGTCTCACTTATATTCGCAACGTGCCTTGTACCAGTTGGGATTCCTTCTTTCTCTTTTTTTTTTTTTTTTCATTTTCCCCATTTTTTCTATTCAATGGCATGTTTTTTTGTTTACTTTTGTTATAGACAATCCACTAGAATTTAATAAACACACATAATTATTATGCTTAAAGTTAGAACCGGGAAAACGGACTGAGCCCATCAGGCCGGCCCGTTTAGGCCCTGAAATTATGAGGGCTGGACTTGATATTTTTCCTTTCAAATGAAAAATAAGCCCTGGAGGGCCGAGGGCTTAAAAGGGCCGGCCCTGGAGGGCCACGGGCCGGCCCTTTTAAGCCCTTTTATAATTTTTTTTTGTTTTTTAAATTTTTTTATATAATTCTAATATTATTAATTTTTTACATTATTAATAATATTTCAAATATTTAGTTATTATTATCATTTTAAAATTAAATTTAGTGTTAGACAATAATTTATCCAATTAAATTTTTAAAAAATGTGTTAATTTGGACTTTAATAATGATTTGATTTATATTATATGCGTTGATATTTTTAAACTATATATATATATTTGATAATAGAGTATTTTTATACTTATATAACTTGTGATTTTATAATTTGAATTAGAAATTCATGAGTTTCAACAACAATGTTTCTCACATTAAAGTAAAATAAGAGCTAGATTGTACAATTTAAAAGTAAAATTCCTATAAAGAAGAAAAACTTAATATTTTTGTTACGAAAAAAAAAGCATACTTATGAAGAAGAGTAATTAATTATAGTGATGATGAAGTTTCAAAAGATTAATGATAGTGTTTATTTATTGCACAATTGCACTATAGATAAAACTTTTGGATGTTGTTATCTTGTTAATGAATTTTTTAGATATTCTTGGATGTTGATGGATATTTATATATGATGATATTTTATATTTGTGACTTAATTTTATTGATATTTATGTCTTTTTTTAATAATTTTATTAGTTTATTTTTATTTTTTTTATAAAATTTATGATAAATATGAAAAATAGTATTTTTTTCCTCAAACGGGCCAAAAGCCCGCGGGCCAGCCCTGAGCCCTGTGGCTTAAGGACGGGACCTAGCAAATTAGGGTATTTTTGAAACTTCAGCCCTGGAAGGCCGGCCCTTTTAAGCCTATCAGCCCTAAAGGGCCGACTCTGATTCCCAGCTCTACTTAGAGTGTGTAATATTGACAAATACCATTTTTTACTGTATGTTAATTGAAATTTTGAAAGGGTCCCATACAACACTACTTAGAGTCACAAGGAATTAAAATACTGAAGTATTTCTTATTTGTACTAATGATATTTCTATCTTGGGTCACTTGTAATTAGCTGTTTATATTTAGCGATATCCTTATAATCCGAATAGTCTACTTATTTATATATTTATTTTAACTTCTCAAAATTAAAAAAAAAAAAATTAGACGTATTGAAAACAAATACAACATACCATTCTAAATAATTTAATTTGACGTAATCACAAGAGATGTCATTTTCCAGTTTGAAATTGAGTTTCCACTCCTTGACTTTGATTTGGGATTAGAGAAATATAAAATGATGTGTCTATTAATTTCTGGATGCTCGAAACTTACAAATTGAATTTTCTATTTTTATTTTAATTATAACAGTTTGTTAGTTATGTTTTGAATGATTCTGGTGTTGTCTCCATTGTTTTTTCCCTCTTTTTTAGGTTTTGTTATATTTTTGTGCACTTCTTCTTCTTTTTTTTCTAATCATTTTTCTATTCTTGTTAAGAGAGTAAAAAAGAATTTGTCATCCAAATTTTGAGATTTTTAGTGAGCTTGTACCATAGGAAAAAGAATATTGTTATAATATTAGTCCAAAGATATCTCTGAAGGCCCATTATCAATCTTTCAAAACGATGTTTATTATTATCATGTCATTAAAAAGTTTTTGAAGTTTTTTAATTAAAAAATGAGTAAGCCTTGCGAGCAACATGTTTGTAAAATGGAACATTTAATTTTAATTTGGCTAATATGAAATATATATTAATTTTATGATATATTATTCACTTTTATCTTAAACTAGTTTTTAGATAACAAAAATCAATTTTTTTGCAGTCTTCCAACAAATATGTGTCTTGAAAAAATGGTGAATTGACATAAATCTTAAAAAATAACAAAAATAAATTAAAATTAATCCAAATTACAGAAAAATAAACGGAACTGAAACGTAAAACCCAGGGTAATGAGTCTCCCATATACGTTCTCCAACATCAATTCATCCAAATATCTCATCAAATCACATATCCAAAATATTCATTCTATCGTTATTACCTATGCTGAATTGAAATGGTTATTTCTATTTTGAAAATAAGCATCGTTGTGTTTTATTATTTAGAATATACTTATGTTATTTCTCATATAAGAGCGCAAGCCTTGCGATATGTGTTTTTAAAAAATGCAAATATGTCTCATGTACATATTATTTTTATCGACTATACCAATGATCTTAAATTGTCCCGATATAGGACTTAGTTAGCTAGTGACAAATTGAATTTTTGAAAATGATTATATTTGTTAACATTGTCAGCTTAGCTTTGTAAGGGTATACCTTATCCTTCGGTATGCTATGAAAGTTGATACTGACATACTGTTTATCATTTAATATTCTTAGGAGCCATTCCAAATGAGATTGGTGATCTTCAGCAGCTTCATGCAATATATCTTGGAAGTAATCAGCTTTCAAGCACTATACCAACTTGCATATTTAATAGTTCGGTACGACAATACATTGAACTTCACACCAATAATTTATCTGGGAGTCTACCAACAAATGTGTGTTCTGGGCTTCCAAAACTTGAAATACTATATCTCTATCAAAATGATTTGTCTGGCGAGATACCCTCCATTTGGCATCAATGCAAGGAATTGGTAGAGTTATCATTAGGGGATAACAAGTTCAATGGAGGAAACATACCAAGTGACATTGGAAATTTGACCAAACTTGAGTGGCTACATCTTAGCAACAGCAACTTGCGAGGTAAGAGTTTTAATTCTGTGGTTGTCTTAAATTTTGTTTTTACTATTTTGATAAGTCATAAATTTAATTTAAATATTACAAACTTAGTGAATAATAATTTTGCTAGATTAATTTTAAAGACATGGAACTTGATGCTTGCTTTTAATCCCAAACTGGATGTGCTTTCTTTTATATATAATTTAATTTTCACACATGTCAAAACATGAAATAAAATATTTAAACTGAACAAAAATAATTAATCAAAATTTGTAGTTAACTTTCATGTGGTGTGGCGTCCAGAGGAAAACGGAGGTAGTGTTAGAAGTCTTGTGAAGAATTTGTGTTCTTTTTTATTCAAAACATAAGTATAAAATAACTTGTGTAATTTGAAAAGTTAGTTAAAATTGATTAAAAATAATAAATGTGTCAAATATATAACTTATTGTCCTAAAACATCCTCATTTATGGTAAGGCTGAATGGGAGAGAGGATTAGTTAAAAAAAAAGAAGAAGAAAGAGAATGAGATAATGAGAGAGGCTTATAATTAATTTGAGAGAAAAATAAAAAATGCTAAATGATCCAACAAATCTAGAACAAGCTTATTTTAAAAAAAAAAAAATAGTTAGTCCCTCTTAAAGATTTGACGCTAATATTTTTTAACTGAAGGAAGTATTTTGTGATAATGTTCAATCAGGGGTATTGGGCTTTAGGCTCTCAAAGCCTAGTCTCCAATCTCTGCGTTTCTATACAAGTATGGGTCAATTATCTAGTGTTATACATGAACCCAGTTCGCCATTTGTTGAATAACAGATTTTCAGTTCTCTTCAGTTTTTTCATGGGCATCCCTTTACATTATATATGTACTTTATGCATATTATACAAAAGTATTATAAATTGTTTTATGTTCCCATTTACAAGTCCATTCAGTGTTTTCATAAAAAGAGTTGTTAATGAATTATATTTAAATGCCAACCTCTTTACAAGTATTGAGATTATTATTTATTATTTTTCTTCTTTTTTTCCTTTTTTTTTAATATTCTTCAATAATGAAATAAATTTAAAATGATATTTTATCTATTCATTTCTTTAATATCGTACATTTTTCTAGTGGAAGCTTAAATATGACTAATGATTTACAATCACAAAGCAATGATTTTCTTTTTTTTTTGGGTGATATTTTCTCCATTTAGAGAAAAATAGAAATGAAAATTTTTTTTGGCCATTTCATTCATTCATATTGTTTGTTCATATAATGGGACTTATACTAAGCTTGTGATTAGAATGCCAAAATAAAAAGATAGATAAGATCAATAACTGATGGGACCACTTGATATTTAAAATGTGCAAAACCTTTTTTTTTTTTTAGTTTTACTCTTAAAACTATCACATCATTTATACTTTGATCAATAAAATGGCTTCACCATATATAATTTTAGCAACAACAATTTGCGAGGTCAGAATTTTAATTATATGATTGTGTTAGACCATATGCGTGTTTTTGTTTTTGTTTTAATCTTGAGAATAAAAAATAATTTGAAAATTAAATTTTGTTATTATTTTTTTCATTTGTGGAAATATCTTCTAACAGTTTATTAGGTGTATTTTGAATGAACCTGCGCTTTGGATATTGCTTTAGATTTTGTTGTATTTTTGGCCATTTCTTCTTCTTTTTTATTCAATCATTTTTCTATTTTTTTAAGAATAAAAAAAATTTGTCATCTGATTTTTGAAATGATTAGTTATACCATGGGAAAAAGAATATTATCATAATGATAGCCCAAATAGATCTTTTAGGCTGATTATCAATCTTTGAAAACAAATGTTTATTTTTATACTCGTATAATTTAAAACTTTTTGAAGCTTTTTCTTGAAAAAAGACTAAGCAAGCCTTACAAGCAACATGTTTGGAAATTAGAACATTTAATTTTAATTTGCATAACATAAAATATATATTAATTTTATTATTTATTATTAATTTTTATTGTAAACTCATATTCTTATTTGTCGAATGAAACGGATGCAGCTTACATGATATATAGGAATTTCTCAGAATTAATTAATCCACAAATCTGAAAAAGATAACAAAAATAAATCTAAAATTATAAGTTAATCGAATTTAAATTACAGAATAATATATGCATCGATTAATCCGCACAATACAAATATTCAAGTTTTGGGGATCAGCGCGTAAGACGCATATAGTTATATATAGAGAGAGAGAGAGAGAGTACCTATCGGCAAACAATATTTCCTGCTTTTTTTTTTTTTGGTCAAATATGTCCTGCTTTATTTTCCCTTTAAAGCTGGTACACCTATACAAATATATTATTAACTATTTTATTTTTCTATTTACAAGTCCATTCACTATTTTCACAATCAAAGTTGTTGTTAATGAATTGTATTTAAATGCCAACCTCTTTACGAGCATTAAGATTATCATTTCTTATTTTTATTATTTTCTTCTTTTTGATATTCTTCCATGATAAAATAAATTTAAAATGAGGTTTTATCTTTTAATTTCATTTATTGTATATATTCATAGCGGAGGCTCAAATATATAGCTCGTAAAACTAAAATGAGATTTTGTTTTTTTGTCATTTTATTCATTATATTGTTGATTCATAGAATGTGGCTTATATATAGCTTATGATTACAATGCCAAAATAAAAGAAATATAAGATCATGTACTGATAGGACCACTTGATATTTATGACGCAGAAAATAAATGGCTTGTTTTTTTTTTTGATTCTTTTCTCCAGAACAATTTTATAATTTTTTTAAAAATAAGTTTTGTGAGTAAAAGGATGAAAATATGTTTGGATGACGATTTTAAAAACCACATTTGAAACAAAAAAGAAAACATCAAAAATCACATTGGCCAGTTTGATTTTATAAAAAAGTTAAAATATCTTTTGGTCATTAGAAATATGTGTTTGCTGTTTGTTTTTATATGTTTTCTCTGTTTTTGCGTTTTGTTTTTCTGGGGACTTTGAGGTGTACTAGTTTACTTTGTTAATACATCGTACTTTCTGACCAAAAAAAAAAAATAAAGTAATCCGTTTCTTTTCAACATGCTATTCAGTTTGTGCGCTTTAAAAAAGTTTCATGTTTGTAATGTATATGAGTGGACGCAATGCTTTTTTTTTTTTTTTTAATGAAAGGATTTGCCTTTGAAAAGATTTTTATGATGCATCCAATTCTCTCATCAAAATATATATAACTCATATCTTGTCTTCTTTTAAATTGAAACAGGTGAGATTCCATCATCTCTCCTCAACATTTCTTCTTTAAGAATGTTGAATTTAGCCAAAAACAATTTGAATGGTAGTCTTCCAATATCAACTGGCAATGAGACATTGTTGGAAGAATTATATTTATCATGGAATTTCTTTACAGGTATGCCCAATCACCCATTTCTTTATTTTATGTTTTAAAGATTTTTATTTTTTTATACTTATTCTGTATTGCTTGCAAAATTTTTAATTGATATTGCTTTTAACCCCTTGTTTGGATGGAGAGAAAAGTTAGGAGGAAAGAGAACTAGGAGAGAGAAAATAGTAGAGAAAAGTGGGAAGAAGAAAAAGTGGGGGGAAAAAATGGGGTGTGGGATTCACAATATTTTCCTTTCAAACTTTCTCTCCACGTGTAAAAAGAAAATGGGAACAAAATACACCCTCCACTACCGCCCTCACATTCGCCCCTCTTGGTTATGATTTTTGTGAGTGAAACTCATGGCAAAACTGAACCTCACATTATAGCTGTTCTTATTATCCCCAAAGTTATTGCTTCACATGTGAAAAGAAATTTAATGTTCAATTAATCATTGATAGTAGAGGAGTCCATTTTAAATTACTGTCGTCAACCTAAAAACTGAATTATTTTCTATTAGTTTTAAGTCTCTAATTATCAAAATTCCATGTATTATTTATATGCTTGTGTACGTGTGAGTTTATCAGGGAGTTGCTTGCCATACTACCATGTAATTAACAAATATTTTGTATTTATTTATAGGTGAAATTCCTTCATTTCTTTGGAGCATGCCTTCTTTGAGAATTGTTAATGTTGGCGCCAATCATTTCAAGGGTAATTTGCCTGAAGAAATGTGTCATCATCTCCTTTTGCTTGAAGTCTTTGCTGTTACTGATAATCAATTAGAGGGAAGCATTCCGAAATCAATAAGTAACTGTACATCTCTGAAAGGATTATATTTGAGTGGTAACTCATTTGCAGGTATGCACTTATGCGTGTTTGTTTTCTTGTTTTTAATATTTTGTATGCACTTATGATAGGACTTACATGATTACAATCCCAACATAACAGATAAAGCCAGGATTATGAATAGACAGAACGTCATGATATTAGTAAGACTGAAAAGTTATATGTAAATAGTTTTTCCTTATTTAGTATTTTTTTTTTAGAAAAATTCTTTTTTATTATATATAAAATGTAACAATTCTGTATTTTTTAACTGTAATTAAAATTACACATAATATTTCTTAAAAAAATTATATCGTAGGAATTGAAAAATGTACAGTAAACAAAAAATTATTTAGATAATTATAGAAAATCAATTACAAATAAAATTTAAAAAATTTAAATGAAACTAAAAAAATGCTTATACAACCAAATGTGAGTTCATATTAATGAACAAGAATACAAGATGTTTTCAATAGTTAGTCAAATTATTAAATCGCATTATTCGAATTCATTTGAGTTTATAGAGAACTTTTGTATGTTCAATTGTATGTGAAATTAAATATAATTTCTTGCAATAAATCTGAAATTAAAAGAAGTATACAAAATCAATAGGAGGAGGAAAGTATACTTTCATAATTTCTTGCTTCAACTGTACCATAAAAAAAATCTCCTGGAGAGAAAAATTGCCGAAAAAATAGTGTAATGCTTTATGCCACACATGATTTATTGGCAACGAGCAAAATATTTTTATGATTAAACTTAATAGATTCACATGCAATTTTTTAAGAAATTTGCTTTCTTCCTTCCTAATATTAATAAGACATGTGTAGTATTTTTTTTTAATGTCACACATATGTATTATGTATATTATTATATGCAAATAATATGATTTGCTTTATTTTCTCTTCTTATAAGTCCAATCAATTTTTTTCACAAGGCAGTTGTAGCTAATCAGTTATATTTGGTTGTCAACCTCTTTACAACCATGAGATTATTATATCTTTTTTTTTTGAAATTTTTTGGCTAAAAATCTTATTTTCATTTTTCTTTGTTTTTAAAATCATTTTTCCTAATAGACTAAATTTAAAATGGGATTATGTTTTCATCATTTTATTAATATTGTACTATTCATAGTGGGGAATTTAAATATAGCTAATACTTTACAATCCAAAATATCGAAAGATCAAATCATGGATTGACGGTAGTCTATGAGATTTTGTTTTTTGATATTAAATTCATTCATACAATTCTAAAATAAAATAAAGATAGGATCACGATCTAATGGGACCACTTGATATTTAAAACTTGGAAGACAAAATTATTTAAGCACTTAGTATAATATAATTTAAACTCTATTCAATGAAAAAGCTCAACATCGTGTGTATGTGTGTGTGTGTGTGTGTGTGTATAATGTGCCTACATGTTATGTGCGCATGTTCTTCAATTAAGTTGAACCCCCCGGGGTGCGGGTGGACCCCTAATTGAAGAATACATCCTTTCGCAGTTTTTTTTTTTGGGTGTTAATTTTGTCAATTGTTTCTTTCTATTTCACAAATTTATTAATTTCCTATTACACCAAAAACGTTGATTTTTTAAACAAATCTTCTATAACCATGGCATCTCAAAGGTTCTTTAAGATTTCACCTAATTTTTTTATTTTAAAAATTTGTCAAAGATTTAAAAAATAATAGAAATAAATTTATTTGTATATATTCTTATCTTAGCTCTATAAAATCATGATTCCCATCAATTTTTTATGTATAGGTTTTGTACCCAGAGGCATAGACAAACTTGATAAACTTGAAGTCTTAAGTATGGGCTCTAATAATTTGAAAGGAGCTATTCCTTCTGAAATATTCAACATTTCCACATTAACACGGCTGGAGCTTTATCAGAATTCTCTCTCAGGCCTTCTCCCACCATATTTAGGAATTAGCCTTCCCAACTTGGAGATGTTACTATTGGGTGTAAATGAACTGACCGGACAAATTCCAAATAGTATATCAAATGCTTCTAAGCTTATTACGTTGGATTTGTCATGGAATAAATTTAGCGGAGCTATACCTGAAGTACTTGAAAATTTAAAGAACTTAATGGAATTAGATTTGGATGGGAATAATTTGACTGGTTTGATTCCAAAGATGGTTAACAAATTACAAAGCCTTCAACATTTAAGTCTCAGTGATAATAGATTACAAGGATCCATTATAAATGAACTTTGCCAACTCAAACGTCTAAGTGAGTTGTATCTTGCCAATAACCTATTTTCAGGAGCGATTCCAGGATGTCTCGAGAATACTTCAGTGCGAAAGTTGAATTTTAGTTCTAATAAATTGATTTCTCATGTACCCTCTTCTATTTGGAGTCTCAAAGATATCTTGGTTTTAGACATATCCTCCAATGCACTAAGCGGGATAATTTCACCAGAGATATCAAACATGAGAGCAATTATACTACTAAATTTGTCAAGAAACCAAATTTCAGGAAGCATTCCTATAACTATGGGTATCTTGCAAACTCTGCAAAACCTATCTTTGGCTCACAACAAATTACAAGGACCTATACCTGAATCGCTTAGTGGCATGATAAGTATTGAGTCCATGGATCTTTCCCATAATTATTTATCTGGTATAATTCCAGAGTCCTTAGAGTCATTACTCTATCTTAAATTCATCAATCTTTCTTATAATTTATTGCATGGAGAAATTCCAAATGGTGGCTGTTTTCAGAATTTTACAGCTCAATCTTTTATGATGAATAAAGATCTTTGTGGAAAATCCCAACTCCAAGTGCAACCATGTAAAAAAGAAAGGAAGTACATGACAAAAAGAGTAAAGTTGTTGATAAAATGCTCACTTCCTATCATGGTTGTCATTCTGGTTGTTTCATTCATTGTCTATCTAAGACATAAGAGAGATGCGTATGCTAATGGTTCAGCCAACAAAGATTTAATAAATCTGGGAACACCAATTAGGGTATCCTATTATGATCTTTTGCACGGAACAGATGGATTTGATGAGAGTAATCTTCTTGGCTTTGGATATTATGGATCAGTATACAAAGCAACTCTTCCAAATGGAATGATAGTTGCTGTTAAAGTATTGCGCTCAAACTTGGATGAAGCACTAATGAGTTTTGATATTGAGTGTGTTGTGGCTTGCAATTTACGACACCGTAATCTTGTTAAGATTATTAGTAGCTGCTCAAATGATTATTTTAAGTGTCTAATAATGGAGTTCATGTCAAATGGGAATCTAGACAAATGGTTATACTCTCATAACAACTGTTTAGATATCCTAAAAAGGTTGAATATAATGATTGATGTGGCAGTTGCATTAGAATATCTTCATCATGGTTCTTCCACACCAATTGTCCATTGTGATCTAAAACCGAGCAATGTCTTGTTAGATGAAAATATGGTGGCTCATCTCACTGATTTTGGTGTAGCTAAATTGGTGGGTGAAGAACACTTGGAAATTTATACAAAAACTTTGGCTACAATTGGTTATATGGCACCAGGTAATAATTTAGTAATCATATTTTAGTTTTAATTGTTTGCATTGTTTTTGTTTACCATCTTATAACAAATTTATATTATTCAATTACTAACAAAATATTTGTTTTCTTTGCATGCATGAGTTTATTGTATTAATAAAATTAAATTTTAACAACAAAGGCATTATGTTCTTTTTTTTTTTTTTGACAAAATGGCACTTATACTGATAATTCTACTTGGTATATAGAGTATGGATCAAAAGGAGCTATTTCCATTAAAGGAGATGTGTACAGCTATGGCATTTTGTTAATGGAAATATTTACGAGAAAGAAGCCAACAGATGGCATGTTTGTAGAAAGTCTAAGTTTGAAAGATTGGGTGAGCATGTCAACACCACAATCTGTCATCCATATTCTAGATGCAACTTTGCTGCACAATCAAAATATTGGTGATATATTACCACACATGTCATCAATTTTTGAGTTGGCATTAAATTGTTGCTCCAACTTACCTGAAGCACGACCTACAATGATTGATGTTGTGGTATCAATGAAAAAAAAGCAAGTTTGCATTAATACAGAATATTAGAGGCAACCCAAGTTAAATAATTGTTAAATAAAATTTTAGCTTCTGTTTCTTACTTCTTTGGTTTGGTTTATTTGTGAACTATGTAATAATCTTATCAGAGTAGAGCGAAGATATTTACCATGTAAATGTATCAAGTATTTGAAGTTTGAGTTTTTCTTAACCATATGTGTTTCAAACATCTCATACTATTTGAATAACAAGAACATGAAATTTTGGCACCAAAAAAAAAAGTAACCTGAATAGTTCACTTTTTCCCCTTAAAAATTCCAATATGCAAAATGGAATTTGATTCATTATAACTCTCATTATATAATTCTGTTATGTCAAACAATCAAAGGAAGGAAGGGATATTCTTTAGTGATTGATCTTGTACAATTTTGTTATTATAACATAGCAAAAGTATTGTCATACAATTTATCACTCACATAATTTATGGGCAACTTTAGCCATAAAATCAAAAGTTTAATATGTTTTTAGAAAGCCTTCACCTCAAAACTTTCTAATGATAATATAATTTTTTGAGCTTACTGGCTATTATTTTCAACAAGACCTATTTGCAATTTATAGTATTCTAGTATAAATTCTTTTTTTAGGATGTTGGTATTTTTTTCTATAGCATATTGCTCAAAACCCCAACTTACTTATAAATTACACATCATCAATCATGTTAATATTCATTTAAATTAAAATCCTTCAATAAATCTTAAGAAGATAAATTAGCAAAACCTCTAGAAACTTCGTAGTGAACTCTAATAACATACAATGATTCTGAAAGAGAAGACTCTTAAAAGATTGTCTTTATCTAATGTCCATTGTAAGTTTTGTTATCATGGCATCCAAGTCTAGGTTCTTCAAGATCCATTACCAAAATTTCAAGAGGGCCCCATAACTCAAGCCCATTATCATGATTGGGAATCCAAGAATGAATAAGAAACATTCTAAGAACAATGTCTGATGTGTATTCTCCTTCTCTCTCAAGCCAAGAAACTGAAAAACCCTCTTTCAAAGCAAGAAACCCGTTAGAAAACGTGACCATTGTTGACGAGAAAGCATTTGGTGATTATGGTGATTAATTTAGGCATCAACTTCGCTCAGCCGCTCAATCTTCATCCCTCTAACACACAAGGAGTCACAATCATCACTCTAATCTTGACTAGAAGTGAAAATTATATGATTTGAAAGGTTTATGCTAATTACTCTTCAAGTAAAGTGCAAGATAAGCTTCGGGGATGCTTCTTGTAAGAAAGAAGATCAGGAAAACACCTCCAAGAGCAGTGGGAGAGGTGCGATGCAATAGCTCTATTTCTTGGACTTTGATTATGTCATGGATTGACCTAAACAAAAGGTTGATAAAGTTTCAAGATTGTGGATATTCTCATTATGCTAAGAAATCAACTTACTTCAAGCTGATCAGTTAAGATAATGGTATAAAAATACACATTAAGTTTTTAAAACAACGTGAAAATACACATAACATTTCTAATGGCCATAGCATTTCTACATTGTTTTGGAAACTGTGTATTTTTGTATCACTTTCTTGACCTATATGTTCAATGTTTGTTGACTTAATAACCCTAGCTTTTTTGCTCTATTTTAAAATTTCATATATACTTTGGCAACCAAGAAAAATTTATGGTGTTGGATACTCATGATGAAATACCTTATATTTAGATATGCACTCTAACCCTTTACTACATTGGATAGTGCTAAAAAAATATTTTAAGATACTAGATGTACAAAAAATTAATGAATTTAGGATACCAGGTGCTTTTGAAAGAAAATTGTAAGCTTTTGTATGCATAAAAATTAATCAATTCAAGATATTGGATGCTATTAAAAAATATTTCAAAATGTTGGATGCAACTTAACCCAAATAAATTAAAATTAAAAAATTTAATAAAAAAGGAGGTGAGTCATCCTCAAACGTTGATTTGGGGGATGAGCATGCTCGGTTCATAGAATTGACGAGGAGGGCATCCACAAAGTAACATAGAACCAAACATTGAGAGATAGGTTTGAGTTTTCTCTATATTTCTTACGCATTCCATTCATAGATTCACACAATTACCATCACTTAATATTTTTAATTTCTAAACATATTTTTTTAAAAAAATAGTAATTTAAATAAAAATTATCGCACATTGTCTCAATATTGTTTCTGTCCTGATTGTTGCCTAGGATTCTACTTGATTGTGAGGAATGCTCATAATCAAATAGAATTTTAGGTCTTGTTTGGTTATATCTTTTTTTAAAGATAAACTTATAAAATTGTGTTTCAAAACAAGTAGAAAAAACTTATAATATTATTACTTGTTTTTATTTAGATCCCTGTAGATTTGTTTCTTTTTATCAGCTCTTTGTAATTTTACCTAAATTTTATAATTATACAATTCGAAGACGATTGGAAATGGTTAGCGTATGGATGAAAACATAGATTGTACATGGTGGCACATGACTTTACGAACAGTAAACCGCTACTGTATGCATTTAGATCGGCAGCCTTTTCACCCTGTTATGGGGCGCATCTCTTGGGTTATTAAGTGGAAGAAGTAGATCTAAAAATCAGAGAAGACAAAGGGAAGGGGGCGTGTTTCTTTGCTCCGCTGTTCATCAACTCCTTCATTATGAGGGAAGATAGAGTCATGATTTAGTGAAGCACGTGACGACAGCATGCAATCACAGTGGGATAAATGGAAGTCTCAACTGTTAGGTTAGAAAATTAGATCTCTAATCACTGGTATTCAGGTTTGTAATTATTAATATGTTTGATAGATTAAATTGTCGGATCATGATGAAGTGCATCTTTCAAGAAGAACTATGATTGTCTAGCTTGAAACCTCTTATTCTTTGTGGGACTTGTATGAAACTGATATGAGTTTGTCAAAAGAGGATATCGGAGAATGTGTATAAAGCTAGAATTTATTCCTTACAGTGCGGCCGTCAAATTCGTGCGTTTCTGTCAAAACTTCAAAACTTTCATGCAAGATTCGTCGTCACTTTTTTAGTGCTTATGCTACTTTAATCTCTATCTCTTTATGTAGTTGAGTCTTTGAGGAATTTAGTGGTAATCACTGCTTTCAATCTCTTTGGAAGTTCCTATTATGGGTGTAAGCATATGTGAAGTTGCATCTTCAACTTCCAATTGTGGTATTTTTATTATCAACATGGATAAATATGAGATAAAGGTGACTATTACTTGGCATGTTTCTGTGGCTTATAAGTATATCAACTCTGTTATTTCCATGTATAAATCTTTTCTTAGTAATCTTGTTGTGGGGCTGGGCATTCAATGGTCTCCTAAAAAAATATATCATCATCAACTTTGCAACTTTGCATTGGTCACACGTGTTTAATCTATCATCATAGTCATTCATGCTTTGTACCCAAAATTCTTCAGCTTTTTCTCTTAAACCCAAATTATACTTTGTGGGTTTCTAGAACCAATTAAATTGGGAAAAAATTGCAAACCTCACTAGCATAAATTGCAAATGTTGATGGATCCTTTAGACATTGAGTGACTTATGAGTAATTGGGAGAATAAATTCTTAAGCTTTGAATTGATATTTCAAGCCTCACTAGATGCTTACTTTGCGTTTGCCATTGGGAAAAAAAATTTCATGCTTGGAAGCTATCTGGACAATCTTTTTCTACTTCTCATCAAAGCAATACTTCAAAGGCATGTAATATTCCTTGTTGGGTTAAGAACAGTTCTGGTGATTGCAAAAATAGAGTTTCAATCTGCTTTTCAGCATAAGAGTCATCATCATATTTAAAGATCTCATCGAAATGATGCTAGTAAACCTATGGTTTTTGGTCTTTACAGAAGAAGTCTTCTCATACTAAGGTAAAGCAAGTCTTCAAATGAAATCAATTTGACTTTTCCAAGGTAAAGACAGATCAAGTTAAGGTAAAGAGAGCTAGACCTCTTGATGGTCATGACAGCTTGGCTAATGAACCAAAACGGTGATTACTAGATAATCAAAGTCAAGTGGTTGTTTCTTCCTTATAGTCATCTACTTTCTATAGTCTCAAAACTATTGTAGTTATGTTTTGGTCTCTTCTTACTAGGGGGAAAAAGAGACATAGTGAACCAACTTTGGCTTTTGATGTTATATTAAAGAAAGCTCATTTAATGTCTTACTCTGTCAAAGAGGCTTGGGAAGCTGCCTGCTCAAAGCTTTCTCAGGAGCCATGAGGATCCTTAGTTGGAATTGTCAAGGCTTAAGAAAGCAACGGTAGTTCAAAGATGCAAGCAGTTGGTCAAATTGCACTCCCCTAATTTTATCTTCTTGGCTAAAACAAAAATTTCTTTATCGAATGCTTGTAAGCCTCTAGTTGATGTGGGTTATAATCATTATGTGGCTCCATATGCAATTAAAAAAGGGGGAGGTACAATTATTGTGTGGAAATCTGCTTTTGATATTACCACTTTGGATGTCACTCCCTACTTTTGTCATTGCTTGCTTAATTTTACTGAAACAAGTTCTTCCTTCTATCTATCTTTTGTATATGGCCCTTTTTCTTCATCTTAAATATATTCTTACTTCTTAGATTAGCCTTACCTCTCAAAGCATTGATGGACCATGGCTGATTATTAGAGATTTTAATTAGATTTTCTCTTCATCTAATGAAATTAGCAGCTCTGTCTCTTCAAATGCTTCTACCCATTTCCTTTAACATACTGACTTCGCTCATCTTATTAATATTCAGTAACATGGACCTGTTTTCGCATGGACTAATAATAAGAAAGGGGAAACTAAAATCTTAGAAAGACTAGATACAACCTTCGCTAATCACTCTTGGCTGCATGTTTTCCTATTTTCCTCAGTCTGTACTATATCAATTGCAGCATCTGATCATATTCCTATATTGTTTTCAACTGATCAGGTGCACAAGAAGAGCAGAATTGGAAGATTTAAACCCCATTGGAAGTTATTTAAAGAAAGTGAATTGACTATGCAACGATGTTGATGTTAGCACGTTTCTGGCTCTCCTAGCTT